CATCTGTATGCCTGTCACTTTGAGAACATTTCCAAGTGGGAATGGGCACCTTTCCCCTCTTTCTTTTAAAAAGGAAGCTTGAAAGTCTTTTCATTTGTTTTTATTTTATTAAGTTTTTTTTATTTTCAAGACTGACAATGAGCTTAGAGAATTATTATCCAGCATCTCTGGAGATGAAGGCTGGGTTGAGCCAACCAGCTAATGAATCGACCATAAAAACTGCCTCCTCCGTGGATCTTCAAAGGCCTGCAAGAAAGAAAACAAACAGCCCTGCTCCCCTTTGGGAGCAGCCGCTACTAAACATGAGAGCCATCCTTTTGTGAGGCCACATGGGGCGAAAAGAACATCCATTCTCTCTTCACACTCACACATACACACACCCCATTTGTTGGTAGGAGCAATTTGGAAAAATGGGGCTGGCTGGGAGGGAGGTGGGGTGGGGAAAGAGCCACACAAGCAACACTGGGCTTTGCTTTGTTTGAAAGCATAATAAATCCTGTATACCTCCAACAAAGCCTCCAAGTGTCAATGCAATGCTTCTTTTGTGGATATCAATGTGACAGATCACTGAAGAAGCCACACACAGATAGATCTCAGTGTCACTATGAAGTGGGGTGGAGGAACATGTAATGTCACTAAAGGAAGAACTTATCATGGTTAAATACAGTATAAACAGTTACTGTTGTTGCTGTATACCTTCAAGTCATTTCCAACTTAAGGCAACTCTAAGGCAAACCTATCACAGGTTTTTCTGGGGGTGAGAATGTGTGACTCCCCCAAGGTAACCCAGTGGTTTTCCATGGCTAAGCGGGGACTTGAACCCTGATCTCCAGAGTCAAAGCCCAACATTCAAACCACTATACCACACTGGCTCTTAGCAAAGATAACAGTAGTTATTATCTCTGTAAGGACTTAATGCAGCAGAACAGCTGCTGCTGCTGCTGCTGCTATTCCAACACTTGCCCTGGTCCAGGGGTAGGCAACCTTTCCCTTTTAAGGGCCAAGGGACTTCAGCTCCCAGAAGCCTCAGCCATGTTGGCCAATAGTCCCATGTTGGCCAATAGCTCCTGGGATTCTGGGAGCTGAAGTCCCTCGGCCCTTAAAGGGGAAAGGTTGCCTACCCCTGCGCCTGGTCCAATTACATTTGATGTTAAAATGCACACTCTATTTTTCATGTATGCATATGCTTCATGCAAGCATCAATGGGAAGTGCATATCTGAGTTGTCAAATACTGTAGGACTTTTCTTGACTTGAATACCAGTGGAATGTACACAAAGCCAGTGTAGTGCTGGGATTTAGGGTGCTGGACCGAGATATGGAGGATCCATCTTCTAGTCTCCACAAAGTCCCGCTCACAGGGCTATTGTAAGGATAAAATGGAGAAGAGGAAGATAGGACATTATCAC